GTTAATTAATTAATTCAAAATCAACATTTTTTCTTTTCATATAAATTAATTATAAAAAGTGCATTAATTATATTATTTAATTTGTATTTAGAAGATACAAATTAGAAAAATTCTTAAAGGATCAGATTAGAAAAACCCTACTAAAAAACCTTGTAAAATCTTTTTGAAACCAATCCCTACCAACCCTAAAAATTGTAAATTTTTTTGACAAATAAAAAAATATTATTATTTCAAAATATAGTGGATAATCCAAACCACTTATAAGCAAACAGATCACACTAAAAAACTCTGAAATCATTTTGAAATCAATCCCAGCCGCCTCAGATAAGCTTTGGATCAACAACCCAGTTTGAAAAGTATAAGCTCCCTCGTTTTCGTTTGTATTTCAATCAATGAAAAGCTCCAATTTGAACCAGCTTATAATTGAAATTTGTTAAAAATACTTTAATTAATTATTTTTTTGGTATTTATTATTAAGACATCCCAAAATAATTTTCACACACTTCAATACTAATATTTTTTTAAACAATTTTAAAGGTGAAATTTGTCATTATTTAGTGCGTTTAAAAAAATTAATTTTTTGAATGTTAATATCAAAACTTGAATTCTAAATCTTATACAAAAGATAACACTTATTTATTCGTAAATTTAATTTTTAGATTAAAATACTTTAATATTTTAATTACTTGTATTTAATTTTTAATGTTTTGTTTTTGGCATTACTTTAATTATTATTTTTTTTGATACGGGCTTAAATTATTAATGTATGGGGAGTTGTAATGTTGCATAGTTTAATAACGAGTCGGGATTTATATTAAGCTTTCTTTTCTGGAAAGAGGTGTTTCATTTTTTTTTATTTTTATTTTTGGGTTATATTTTAGAAAATGAATTTTTTCACCATATTTATTGACAATGAAATATTATAATATGATGTGACACAATTTAGACAATCAAGGTGTCTTCAAATTAATTTTTACATAATTTAAAACTAATCTTTTTGTGAATAATCTTAAAAATAGATCTTCACATTGAATTAATGCATTTAAAAAAAAATTAAATACTAATTCTAAAATTTAAACCTTTGAATCAACACATAAACCTTTAACCCAAACTAGAAAGTGTTTTATAGCTAGTTTGGCTATCCTCGTGAACATATGAGCTGGCATCTCTCTACCAAAACAAAAACAATGTCATGTGTCATGCCAAGTTTAATGGTTAGGGTGTACTCCAGTTATATAATGGAATTTTTTAATTTGAGCATTTACAACCCTAGTTAAGGGAGTATTTATTATATATTTTTATTTTTAATTTGTATGAAAAATAGAAGTTGATTTAGTTTTATCTATCATTTAATTTAATCAAATTGTTTTACATGATATTAATGTTGAAAATAAAGTTTATTTTTTAGTATAAAATCTTTATTTTCTTTTGAAATCGTATATTAACTTTCTAAATAATTTCAATTTAATTTAATCCAATACAACTCTGTTAGTTTTGGTAATGAAATTCCATATCTCCACATAAGCAGCCAAATAAGCATCCACGTGGCTTGAAAAGGGAGGTATTTGTTTAATAAATTTTCACCCATAAAGCAATTTGTTTTAAAAATTTTCACCATATGAAGTAATTTTTTATATTAAGATTTAACTCTAAAGAAAAAGTGGAACATTTCCTTCTCATTTTTAGGTCACATAGTAGCTTATGTAGTACCACACAATAAAAATCATGAAATTTTGTTAATTCAATTAAGGAGTTGTGTTGGAGTAAATAAAATTAAAACAAATTTAAAAGTTAATAAATAGTATCAAAAGAAAAATAAAGATATTAAATAAAA